AAAGTTACTATAATATTATTAAAATATTATTTATTAGATTACTAGATTGTTATTAAATAATAAAAAAATATTTTTAATATTAAACCTATATTGTAATTATATTATAAATATATAATATACATCAAATTAAAAGTAAGGTAGTAGAACAAAAAAAATATTTTTAAAATATGATAATAATATTTTTAACATATGTTTAACATATATTTATCATTCTTACACAATATTACACAAGCATTGCCTATCCTGAAGCTGAAAGAATTCTCTCTAAAAAATATAATATAACTTTTGAAGTTTCTAACCAAATTGACGATTCATTATTTCTTAATGAATCTTCTTTTCATTAAACATGTCTTCTGCAATTACTTCAACTTTATTCAATTTTAGTTTATTTTGAACAAATTTACTTTTGAGAAAAACAAAATACTACAATTTTCATCATTAACACTATACATATCGAAAACACCAAAACAATACTTAAATTATTCTACCTTATAATCATTTTTATTTACTCCTTTATAACTATATTAAAACTTCATAATTCTTTTATTCAAAATATAAAATTTTTAGAGGTTACAATACTTTAGAACAAAAATTCCTGTCAAATCAAAGAATCATTAAGACAAGCAAATGAAATAAATGAGAATCAAATACAAACAAAAAAAAGAAAATTATTACATAAGAGAACAAAAAAAAAATAGATAATAGGAACAAAAAAAAAACAATTCATATTTTATTAAAAGAATTCAAGAAAAGTTCCCAGAAAACAAGTCCCAAGTAATAGAATAAAAAAAAGAAAACAAAGAAAATGAGTTCTATAATATTTCTTCCAAATTAAAAATAGTTACCACCTCTAATATCATAAAAATGAAAAAAGTGAATTAGAAGATATAAGCTCTTGGATTAAATGGAAGAAAGAGAGAAGTTGGGTCATGTCTACTAGCTTCAAATTTCTCAAAAACCTGGTAGTCTTAGAAAGATAAACTAGTAAAAAGAAAGATAAAACAGAAATAGTACATCAAATTTCTATTGAGAACTGGAAACACAACTAGTTAAAAGTATAATAGAAAATAGTAATAAGTAATACAAGCTACAAAAAAAAATTTGAGCTTTAAAATTAACTTTCTACACAGATGGCTCACTTGGAGGAAGGGTACAAAAGAGCATAAAGTAGAATATAGAATAATCTAGATAAATGATAAGGGTAGTATAGTAAGAGAAATTAAAGATAGAATTCAAGAGTAGTTTTCTTTAACTATATCAGAACTCATAGCAATCTTAGATGCATTACTAATTTTACCAAGCAACTCAAAGATAAATATCTTTATAGATAGCCAAGCAGCAATCCAAGCAATAAAAAGAATACAAGAACTAAAAGTACAAGATTGTGGTGTAAGATCAAAAATTTAAATATTCTAGAAATTATTGCTAAGAATTTATATACTAAGAACTTGAATATATATTTCTTTAAAGTCAAAGTATATACAGGTAATATACTAAATGATCTAGCAGATAAAACAGCAAAAAAAAGTACAAAAGAAACCAAAGCAACAACAATTAATACAAATAAGTCTCAGAAAATAGTATTTAAACCAATATGAAAAAATACAGCAATCGAAACTCCGATTTGTAGCTTCCTTAAGAAATTTACACATAGTTAAATGGCTTTTTATAAATAACTTTAAAAATACAATTCACACAAGTAGAATAATAAAACAAGCCTGAAAAATCTTTAGAAGCCTGTAAAATAAAGAAAAAAAAAGAAAAGAAAGGTCCTTTAAAACAAATAAAAAATAGAGTTTTAGATTTAAAAGCTTAAATAGTTTGCTTCCAATGCTTTATAGCTATAAAAGAAATTAAGAAAACCTATACCCAACAGCTCTTTGTAGGAAATGCAAGAAGAAAAGAAAACTTTGAACATCTAGTGACTTGCAAAGCTGATGAAGACAAGTAGCAAGACAAAAAGCAAGCAATTGCTAAGGAGATTTGAGCTAACCTAGTTTACCAAGTTTTCATAAGTAAAAGAAAAGCAGTACAAATCTAAAAAAGAAGAGAAATAGCAAGAGGGTTAATCAAAAAAGACTTGGCAATAACACTTAAATCAATAGGTGTCTTAAAATAAGTTTCCAAAGAAATAATTCTTGATTGGTAAGACAAGTAGTATAACATTTTTCCAAGAAACAATTTGGCTACAAAGATGCAATGAAGTAGTATTCTGCAAAAAGGAGTTAAAGATAGATACCAGAAAGAAAAAAGAAAAACAATCCAATTTAATAGACCTCAAATTAAAAAGAAAAACCAGAATCGGTTTAGAAGATCTTCTCTCAACAAATGAAATTAAAAAAAAATAAATAAATCAACCTGGTGAAACAATTATAAATATAGACTAGATTTAGTAATAGATAAGATGAATAACTAGGTTTGGACTAGTAAATAGTTTAGGTGAAACACAAACTAAAAATAGATTATAACAAGCTATAGATCCAGGCTAATTAACTGTGAATTTGTTATCTGAGATAGATAATAAAGAAGTAGCAAAGCTAATTCTACTTTGGCAGGTTGCATATAGATACTAATAGGCAACTGGGTGAGTCATACTTTAGTTTGAAAAATAGCATAGCTATAAATAGAAATTACATTTTATCAAAAATGTAAAATCTATAATAAAAATAAAGTTGTGACATAATCGTCAAAAAAAAAAAAAATTTCTAGTAAATATAGTGTGCTTAACTCTACTTTATATTAGATATAGTAATATTACAAACATTATTTAATATAAATATCACCTTTATATAATTAATTAACTTATAAATTACACAACACTTCAACGATATTTTAATTCTTTTATATAAATAATTTTTTAATAGTAGCTAAATTAACAATTAGTTTAAGCATTTTAAAAAAAGTTTAACTTTTGTTAAAAAACAAAATAAAATATATATTTTTTGTAATATATTAAAATGAAATATTACGGTATACAATATAAAAAATAAACAAGCCACAAAAAATAAAACTTTTTAAGGTGCATCTTTAAAGGTTAGGATTAGAGGTTAGTTTTAGAGTAAAGTTTATAATAAACAAGTATAAGTGAGTTTTAAAGTTAAATAAAAACCCCATTTTATTTTAATCCGATTTAATTATGGTCCGTAATATTTCTTATTAAATTGACATTACTTCTTTTTCACTAGAAACACTTCACAATCTCAGTCAAAAAAACATGCTTAAATTTCTTGAATTATACTTACAAGACGAACTTTTATTAAAGAAAACCATTTTTAGAATGTGAGAAATTCATTTATTTTTAGAGGTAACATAATGGTGGCAGAAAAAATTGACGATCAGATAATTGTGACCCAACTAATGATTAATAAATTTGCATTAATAATATAGTACTATGTCTAATTTCATAAATTTTCGTATTTTGATATTATAATCTACGAGGTTCAGAACGACAGAAATCACCTGATCGCGAATTTTTCTACCACTATGTTACCTTATTTATAGTTGGTCGAATATCAGAACTTGCTTTATTTAACCTCAAATAGAAATTACAATCACCAATTTGATTTATTATACTGCAGTACTGTATTATTATTATTATTACAGCTAACTTTTTTAAGATATATAATAATGCAAATTAATATGACAAAATTTTATTGGCTAATTGCATACTTAGAGAAGGTTGACTATACTAACTTTAGTATAGTATATATACGTATTAAACAAATATGCAAATTAATGTAACAATAACAAGATTAAAAATTTAAATTAATAAATACATATAATAAAAATGCGATCTTGAGCAAAAGATCGGCCCAGCCGACCAGCATTCCGACCCGGAAATTAAGAATTTGTATGCATTTGAGATCAATGTTACACGATAATAATTAATCGCGATGAAATTTAAATCATTTTATAAATTAAGAATTAATTAATATATACGATAGTTCTACAAAATGGTAAATATTGATAATAGTTAATGTTTCACATCTAAGGATTTTAAAGATGAATAAAATTTTGTGTATTGTAATATTTCCGAAGTATATTGAGTAGTAAACGAAATTTTTAGAGCATAATGAGGTAGAGTAACCTGGGGAATTTGTCTATCGAAATGATAACAATCCCATTGAAGTCCAGGAATTAATTTTTTAAAATATTCGGAAATATTTTTAGCAAAAGAATTTAAAATTTTATAACCCATCCTTTTAAAAATTTTAAAATCACTTAGACTAGCAAATTGACGATTTGATACGTCTTCATTATCAAAAAAAGCCTTGAAAGAAATCATATCCTCATAAAGATATAATTTGACATCACCACGCCATTCCTGCAAGCCAATGTCAATAATTGATTCTAGTACTAATACGAATACATCAATAACTTCAGCAGGGCGTTTTTTGAATCTTATTCTTCTGCTATCAATATTGATATCATATGGAATACGAAAATATTCAATTTCTTCATGTAATTCATTACGAGTGACCATCAAAGAACTTGTGTTATTATTATTAATTATTGGATCTTCCCAAAGAATTTTACCAGTACGATAAAATTCAATTATGAAACGAAAAGCATAACCATTTCTATCAAAGAAATATTCATTATCGTTATTCGGATGAAGTAACGAACCATTTCTTTCTTGGAACATTGTACCAAGCATTGTATCGGGATAAGCGGTGAGTGTTGAACGGTAAGTCTCATACTATATAAAGTTCAAGATTAATTATTAGTAAATCACATATTTGAATTACAGTAGATAAACTATTTTTATACCATTACCTTAATTCCGCCAACATTTAATATAATTCTTTCCTCTTTATGGATTGACATGTTCGATATTTAGTATAAACCGGATAAAGGCATGATCATTCATTTATATAGGATTTGAATTGAATGCTTGATTCTGATTGGTAAATTTGAAAATTAATCAGTACAGTATATCGAATACGTAATTCACTTTTCGATTCAATTAAAAAAAAAAGGTTATGATTAAAAAGATTAAGATGAAAGAGCTTTATACAGAAACATCACAATATCGTAACTGGCGTTTTTCAAAGGCAAAGTTACAAGAAACTCGTGATAAGAACCACACATTAGCTGTAGAAAGAGTAAAGAAAAAGGTGTTAGAAGAATCAGTACGTGAAAGTATGATAAAGAACAAATGTCAATAATATGCTTTACTAAAGTGTGTTCAACTTTCTTTTTTTTCTTTTTTTTTTTAAAAGATCTTACAAAAGCAAAATTTGGAAACTTCGTCACCTGCATATAGTGAACAAACAGAAAATGTGGGTTCACCACGTGTGAATCCCTCGGAGATCGAATATTTAACTTTGGAAGATGAGTTGGCATTATGCAATTTTTATGAAACTCGAATACTTCCAATGGCAAATTGCTTTCCAAAAGAAGTTATCGAGAATAAGCTCACTGACAAAGTAAAAGTAAATATCGTGCAGAAAAAAAAAAGATATCTCTTAAATGATACATCATCACATGCTGTTGCTTGGGTTAAACTTTGACCATTTTCAAAGGCAACTGCGATAACTTTTGCCAAAAGATTTTATTTGCGAAATACTATAATGGATTATCATCCTAAAGAAATTATGTATGTAAATCATATTATCTAGTATTGAAAACAATGGTTATTATTATTATTATTTTTGTTTAATATAAAAGTTAATCATTTTGATAAAAATAGCGTTACCTGTCTGTTCCTTGCCGCCAAAGTTGAACACTCCTTCGTTGCTATCGAGGAATTTACAAAAGTGGTCAAACGTCCTAAAGAAATAATATTTGAACTCGAATTAGTAGTTTCTCAAAGTTTAAGATATGAATATGCCGTCCATCATCCACATTTGGCATCATTTGGATTGTTTCTAGATATGCAGGTGATAACTATGTTTCATTGTCTCTATCTTCATTAAAGGTCAAATGAGGTCAAATTATGTACTTATTATAGTTATTCTATTTTTATTCTAAAGAATTTCATAAAAGATAATTCTAAAGTCAAGTTCTTATACGAAAAGTCACTTGAATTTGTCAACAAATCACTTTTTACAGATTGCATGTTTATTTACCAACCATCGCAAATTGCCTTGACGACACTGAGAATGGCAGCCAAACAAGACAATTTTGACTTGGAAAAAACGTATGGACTAAATTGAAGTTTAATCAGTATACTTTATTTTATTTTATTTTCTAAATTTTTTAATACAAATAATCAGTTACCTCCGGTTTAAATTCAAGTCTGATCCCAAAGAAAAAGTTATTGAACTTTATAAGATACTCGACGAAATTGAAGATATAATTAACAGTCACGTAAACATAACTGTTGAACAAGCAAAGGATATTGACGCTCGTCTGCACAAGTGTAAAAATCCAGTGAAAAATCCGAATAGCGCAATGTAAGTGAATTTAGTATATATATTTTTATTGAGATTTTGCAATCTTGTCTATCTTGCCTCAATTATTATAACAACTTTATTAAGTTCAAAGAAGAGACGACGCGAAAAAGAAGAACTAGAAGAGGTTGACAGGCGAAAAAAGAAGAAGCTTGACGATGAATATCAAAAAGATATCTCAAAAATATTTGATTGATCTAGTGATCCTGGCCAATAATGAGAAGTATCGGCCAAAGCTAATTTCGGCTTAGCTGTATAACGATAACATTTGATCGTTACAAAAGTTATATATATATATTGCAACTGCATGTAATAAATTGTTACCTTAAATTGTAAGAAATTCCAGGTAAATTTTCCAGGAATTTTGCTATAAATTCTACTTTTTAGAAAATTAAAATTCTTTTTTAGTATTATACTGTATATTATTTATACTTATGCATTACTTACAAATTTATATGATTTGGTATGTTTCCATAATTACCCGAGTATCAATACTAGATTATAATTATGCGTAGCAAAATTTCTTTTAAAAAAAATTTTGTTAGAGCATAAACGGTGGGTTTCTATACAGATTTTTCTAAGTTTACCTTTTTTTGCCTTACACAATGATATGCAGTATTGACTATATTTTAATAAAATTACACATCAGTATAGAATTGACATGATTCATTATTGTGTATCGCTATCCATTGAGAAAAAAGCTAATGGTATAATAGTAGAATCGATCAAACGCATTATCATCTAAAAAAATTTTTTAAATTAGTTGGAAATTTACCAGTGAGTTTTATCATTCCAACAAACTTTTTGCCAGACATTTTTTTTTTGGCACTGGTTTATCAAAACTTTGTAACTACTATTATCCGTCAGGTACTATGTATACACTGACGGAAAAAATTCCATATTATTGCCGCAGGTTATTATTAAAATCATGTG